TGCTGTGATCTTATCACAAGTGAAAGAATGAAATAAATTCAGCTGAATTCTGCTTTATGTATATTGTTTCATTTAGTTATGTTTTTTTTATAATATAAGTCTTAATGGTCTGCTTGCACTAGCTGTGTTTTATGCTTGCTTATACATTATAAAGTTTCTGTTCTTCATTGCATCTTCTCATCTTCTTTAAATGATGCCAGTTTTCTTTATGGTTTGTTTTTTTTTAATGTCTTTTAGCATCGTGCCAAAATGCAAGGGTTGAAAATGATCTCACTGACAGTTACTGATATATTTACAGAAATGGTGATGGATTCTCTGTGTGAAAATAAACCAATTACCTAAAGTAGCATCAGCTTCATCTTCTCTTCACCCTCTTCCATTCCTTATCAGCACCATTCACCGCTGTCATGCCCAGATCCCAGATCACCATCTCTCCACTCTCCACCCATTCCTTCACCTCCCCTCATCTCACTTTAACACCTCAACCTCCTGAGGCCCCTGCTCCTCCATCCATACCGCCGTTGCCTCACGCTCTCTCGCTCATCCTGCCCTAATCTACTGTCCGCTGCTTCCTTTGAGCCCCATCTCTCCCTCCTTACTTCTTACCACCCCTTGCTTTTTCTCCCCACCACTCCTTCCGCTATCCCTCCATCCATCAGACTGAGTAATGGCCATCAGGGCAGGGAGTCACCCTGCAGCTGTCTGGGACAGACACTGATCACACACACAGTCACTTTGGGCTGAGGGCACAGCCATCCATTTTGTACACGGCCTCGTCCGGCTCACAGCCCACTGTACTTTGGAGGCTGAAGCAATTACAGGAGCCCAAATGGTAAGAATGAGGCTGATCACACTCATTGGGGTTAAGGGTGAATATATTTTGCTTTTAATACACAACTGTAACCCCGCTGTTTGTATATTTTGCCCTATGAGATGGCTGAGTCAAGTAGGAGTTGGACAGTTATTAACAGCAAATTGTATCTGCAGAGTATTGATCAGTTTTCTTCTGAGCCTTGATTATTGCAACAATGAGAGGGACTGACTCTAGTGTCCACATTTGTATTGTTTGTTTATTGACCTATTCTGTTCTCTTTTACAGTTTCCCTGGCGTTTACGACCCTGGGGCTCCAGTAAGCCAATGAGTTACCATCACAGAAATTAACAAGGTTCTTTTCTTTACTGAACAACAAGAGTGCACTTAAACCAGGCATGGACTAATTTTCCTGAGTAGTGATTGTGTGCTTAAATCCAAACAACACAGACCCCTGTTTACATCTTGAAAGGGACAATACCTTCCATTTACTAGTTTGTCATTGGATCACAACTCAGTTCTATTGCGGTCTCTGAAGTGCAGTTTTTAAGCAGCGGCTGGGTACAGGCCTATCGAAGGGCACTGTAATAGGCTTGAGGTATATCCTTTGGGTACTAACCCCCTTAATGATATCTTAATTGCCTTTTTGTTCATATTATGAAATTTTAATGGCCTGTTGAGCTTTTACCTACAGACCAGGCCTTAGTCTGTTAGCCCCTCACATCATGGCCAGTTATGATATCATTTGTCAAAAATTATGTCCCATTTGTCATTTTGGAGCCACTAAATTATAAATGCGCCAACAGTGAAAGGAGACTGACCACTGATGTTGTTCTTGCTCTTGAGAAAACAGCCAGGAATGAAGTGGAGCCAAATGCAGTTAACCAAAATGTTTATATTTATTGTGCTAACCTGGATTTATAGAGTGCATATTCATCATGGGGTGTATTACACTAATGTAAAAGCCCTTAAATAGTTCAACCTTTTCCTGTTTAATATGAAGCTACAGCTAATAGACTGGAACCAGGGGGGAACACCCAGTCTGGCTCCATCCAAAGATAAAACAATCTGCCTACCAGCACCTGTCAAGTTCACTAACAGACCTTTTTCACGACAGACATTTTGGCTTGTCATAGCAGCAAAAGCTCAGGTGTTATTAATAATATTGGAAACAACTGTATTCCATTTAGCTGAGTTAGTAACAGGGTCTTGGTACTGTGCATGCCGGCTCACTGTCAAGGCTTACTGACAGACTTGATGGAACAGAGCCATCATTATTGAAAGTCAAAATATCTGCAGTAAAAATGGTCTATTAACATGTGCCTGTAGGCAGAATTGTTTTTACCTTAGGACAGAGCCAGGCTCGCTGTTTCCCTCTGCTTCCTTTATGCTAATTAACCAGCTAGGCTAACCAGCTTCTGGCAGTAGCTTCATTTTTAACCGACAGATGTGAGAGTGGTATCAACCTTCTCTGAGCAGGTAAGTGGGTATTTCTCAAAATGTCAGACTATTTCTTTCAGCTTGGTTCAAGTATACATTAATAATATGATATGACTAGTTGGTTATTTGCTTATGTTAGTGTCCGTTTCAGGGATAGTCTGACTATTTTTACACAACTGAAGGTCTTAAAAGCCCTGCACACCCATGGCACACCCACACAGATGTTTGTTTATTTATTTAAGTTGATTCGATGTCCTCTCAGGACTGTTTAAAAACTGTTGTTGATTGACGGGTCCTACACTCTACTTGGGTAATTTTAAACCTTCATTATCCTTACAGGCCTTTTTCCACGGAAGCCATTTTGACAAGTTACAGCAAGAAAAGCACAGGTGTAGCTATAATAGAATTAATGGTTTTCACAGAGCTGGCTCCCTGTCACACTGTCATTGAGCCATTGTTAATGTTATTAGTAACACCTGTGCTTTTCCCACTATTACACCTCAAAATGTCTGCTGTCTGCTGGGCTGTTTGCACAAAGAGTTTGGTGGCTTCGCGTAACTCCCAGTGGAGATCCACCAAAGACGAGCCTGAGCACAGGTCTACTCATTACATTTCCTCACTAAGCCCACTGTTCTTGAGCGCAGTTTGGATGTATTAGCATATTACATTTTCCTGATACATATAGATATTACTTATATGGGACATATATACAAACAATATGATCAGCTTTTAAAATATGAATTGTTAAACTACAGTAAAACTAGCTTCATCTCGACCAACAGTATTACTGAAACTTATCATCTGTCACTAATGGCAGTATATATATAGTAATATGACACTCACTGGGGCTATTTGTCGACATAACAAGCACTTTTACTTGCTGTACTTTATACACATATATCCTATAATACATTTATACTTTTAATTAACATAAGTGAATGCAGGGCTTTTACTTATAATGGAGGATTTTTACATTGTGGTATTGCTATTTTGACATAAAGGATCTAAACACTTCTTCCACCATTTTACCTGTACAAATCAAATCAAATAATAAAGTCTAATAAAATAAAGAGAATATAAGTAGCCATAGATTTTCTATTTTTACACATTTTAATTCAACTTTAATATTTTCGCTTCTGTTATTGTAATATTATGTTTTTCTTTTAACATGTCATGCTGACTTGTCCATGTACAGTGGTGGAAGAAGTGTTCAAAAGCAATACAGTGCACTAGAGCCTACAGCACATAAAATACTAAATAAAGTTCAACAACTTCCATCGCTGGGTTGTTTGAGGTATTTCTACCTATGAAGTAAGTTCCGGTGATCCCTCTTCATCTCCAGGAATATCAAAAAGAGAGCGGGCAGACGCGAGGGGGCGACGTTGGTCTCTGTAACACCCTGACAGAGAGAGAGAGAGGGGAAGAGAGAGAGGGGGCGGGGGGGGGGGAGCTGCTCTGAGATCCGACTCCAGTGTCAGCTCGATTCAGTCACACAGCTCCGGCTCAGACATGGGTGGAAATTCATCTAACGTCTCCTCTTTGTTTCTCCTGACTTGTATGGCGAGATGCAGAATCGCGTATCACTCGCTGTTTAATCCGCTGCACAATGGGCACGTCGCTTTGCATTACGGCCGATATTGTTGCGCTCCGTCTATTACATTTGGAATTAGAGACTTATGCTAATTAACTTCAATTACGCTCTTTTTCATCTTTTTGTCATCATCCTCCAAATGGTGTGCAAGTAGTTAGACCCCCACTATTTGTGTCTCCCTCACAACTATTCCATTTGCATATTTAATTTATGCTTTATGAATTAAATTAGCACATGATGCAACTGCATTCCAGTTAAGGCCAGCATGTGAGAGGGTTAATGATAAGAATGGGAAGATAGGGGAACTAATAGGCTCCAGGCTATTAGCAACACGGTAGGACTAAAGTATGACGCTTCATTAAGCTGAATTAAAGTAACTCATGTGTGATCCTGCATCTGATGGAACCTTGTATCACACTGATGCTCACTAGCAAACAACACTGGAGATATCACTTTATTTAAAAAAACGTTTGTTCCCCCCTTAAGTTGTGCTTAGATGTGTGCACATCTCACAGAGAGAGAGAGAGAGAGAGAGAGAGAGAGGGGAGAGAGAGAGTATGGCCATGGCACTGTGGGGTATTGCGTCACTAGCTGTCTTTACTTGCGCAGGCTCTTTACATGGTGGTCTTTGGCTGTGGGCATCCTTGCTCTATTCTGACTCATGCATTGGTATCAGAGCGGCGCTTTAATCAGAAACTGTTGAAATAATTGCGTCAAGGGCAACCTCATGAGGGTCAGGGTTCTTTATGTAGCAAACTGAGAGCCATTTGTCACACTGGAAGAAGACAAAAACCCCACAACAACTGTGATCATAATAAATAAAGGCAGTTTTTTGCTATACAATATTTCAGAAATGCCAGCGTCCCCCTGGCAGCTGCAATATTATCTGCACTGATGCCAACTGTCACCCACTATTATTGGACTTTCTTAATTCACTGGATGTGTAAAACATTTAATTTCCCTGCTACAACTGAGGCCGGGCCTGGAGGAGGGAGAGGAGAGAAGAGGAGAGGAGAGGAGCGCAGCGGCACTTAACTGGTTTTGTTATGAGGGGCCCGATGTGTGCTCTGGCTGGCGTTGCAGAGCCCCAATCAGGTGCCATTACACCCGGTGTTTGAGAATACCATTGGCTGGTGGGGAAAGGAGCTGTGCGCAAAACCAACCCCGCTGCTCACACTCGCCTTACAGAAGCCGAGCTGAGAACATCATCCGCTTTGAGCGCTTAGGCGCAGTGATTACATCCTCACAGAGAGAGGGAGAGAGAGAGAGGGAGGGAGACAGAGAGAAAGTCCTGTTATTCGCCAGTCTTTATTTAGAAGTTGCGTTTTGTTTTAGGTTTCGGCGGTGCGTAAATAGGAGTTTTTGCTCTTCTTTTCCGGCTCGTGTGGAATTTCCTATGTTGTTGTGTGACTTTGAGTGAAGAAGGGGCAGTCTGTTCTGTGCACAGGGAGTGTTGGCTATGCGTCCTGGCTCCAGCCTGCAATGTTTGCTCTGACGCCAAAACTCACAGACCGGTGCAGAATTGATTAAAACAGAGAAGCTCGGATCAAATGGCTGTGCTTCTCACAGCTGAAACGACACAATGTTCCACTGACCCGAGGCAGAGGAGAGGAATTTCAGAGTCGGACTGCCTTGTTGCTGTTTATTTCACTGCCTTTTTACGGACAGAGGAGATGGGAAATGCTCATTTCTTGTGAGAAAAAGGAATAACACTTTTTTTTTGTTTCGTCTCGAAGTGCACTTTGTGAGAGGGAGAGGAGATGATTTGCTTCATATTCCTGCTCTCCATCCTGGATGGAGCTGTCTCACAGCTACACTACTCCGTGCCAGAGGAGCAGGAGCCTGGCTCCGTGGTTGGGAATATCGCAGAGGATTTGGGGCTGGACATTACCAAACTTTCCGCTCGCCGCTTTCAGACGGTGCCTAGTTCACGAACACCTTATCTGGAGGTGAACTTGGAGAACGGTGCGCTCGTGGTGAAGGAGAAAATTGACCGGGAAGAAATCTGTAAGCAGACCATCCCGTGCCTATTGCACCTGGAGGTGTTTCTGGAGAACCCATTGGAGCTCTTTCGCGTGGAGATCGAGGTGATGGATATCAACGACAATCCACCCAGCTTCCCCGAGACGGACATTTCCGTGGAGATATCGGAGAGCGCCATCCCCGGGACCCGGTTCCCGGTGGAGAATGCCTTCGACCCCGATGTGGGCTCGAACGCGCTCAGCACATATGCCATAACGAATAATAACTATTTTTACCTTGACGTGCAGACGCAGAGCGACGGGAACAAGTTCGCAGAGCTGGTGCTGGAGAAGTCGCTGGACAGGGAGCAGCAGGCGGTGCACCGCTATGTGCTGACGGCGGTGGATGGGGGCATCCCGCAGCGGACCGGGACGGCTCTGCTGGTCGTTAAAGTTCTGGACTCCAATGATAACGCGCCCACCTTTGACCAGACTGTGTACTCGGTTAACCTGCGGGAAAACTCTCCCGTGGGCACTCTGGTTATTCAGCTGAACGCCACGGATGTTGACGAGGGACAAAACGGGGAAATAGTTTATTCTTTCAGCAATCACAACGCCCCGCGGATAAAGGACTTATTCAACATTGATGCCAGAACAGGTAGGATAGAGGTGGCGGGCGAGGTGGACTATGAAGAGAGCAACACGCACCAGATTTACGTCCAGGCTAAAGATCTGGGGGCGAATGCGGTCCCCGCGCACTGCAAAGTGCTGGTCAAACTCGTGGACGTGAACGACAACACACCGGAGATCGGTTTCAGCACTGTGACTGAATCCGTAAGCGAGCAGGACGCCCCGGGCACCGTGATCGCACTTTTCAGCGTCTCAGACCGGGACTCCGGCGAGAACGGACACATGAGCTGCGAGATACTTGGAGACGTTCCTTTCAAGCTCAAGTCGTCTTTTAAAAACTACTACACCATCGTGACGGACGGACCGCTGGACAGAGAGAACACAGATTCCTACACTATCACTGTGGTGGCCAAAGATAAAGGTCAGCCTTCGCTCGCCACCAGCAAGTCCATCAAAGTGCACGTCTCCGATGAGAATGACAATGCGCCCCGTTTTACGCAGGCTGTTTATGATGTGTATGTGACTGAGAATAATGTGCCCGGTGCTTTCATTCACGCTGTGAGCGCTTTGGACCCTGATATAGGACAGAACGCTCTTATTACTTACTCCATATTGGAGTGTGACATACAGGGCATGTCTGTGGACACTTATGTGTCCATAAACCAGGACACCGGCTACCTTTACGCGCTGCGCTCTTTTGATTACGAGCAGCTGAAGGAGTTTAGCTTCATGGTGCAGGCTAAAGACTCTGGTGCTGCTGAGCTCTTCTCCAATGCCACCGTAAATGTGATCATAGTGGACCAGAATGACAACGCGCCCACTGTAATAGCCCCCATCGGTAAGAACGGCACAGCCAAAGAGCACCTGCCGCGCTCTGCGGAGCCCGGCTACCTGGTGACGCGCATCGTGGCCATGGATGCGGATGACGGCGAGAACGCACGGCTGTCCTACAGCATCCTGCGGGGCAACGAGATGGGGATGTTCCGTATGGACTGGAGGACAGGGGAGCTGAGGACAGCCCGCAGGATCTCTCCAAAGCGGGACCCGCAGGGCTACTACGACCTGCTGATCGAAGTGAGGGACCACGGGCAGCCCCCTCTGTCCTCCTCAGCCAGTGTGAGTGTAATATTGGTGGACAGCGTGGTCGAAGGCCGCAGCGGGGATCGCGGCTCGGCCTCCAAGGCAAAGGAGACCTCCCTTGACCTCACCCTCATTCTCATCATCGCCCTGGGCTCCGTGTCCTTCATCTTCCTCCTGGCTATGATCGTGCTGGCCGTGCGCTGCCAAAAGGACAAGAAGCTCAACCTGTACACGTGCCTGCTGGCTGGAGAGTGCTGTCTCTGCTGCGGCCCGTGCTGCAGCAGGCAGGCCCGCGGCCGGAAACAGAAGAAGCTGAGTAAATCCGACATCATGTTAGTTCAGAGCACCAACGTGACGTCAGGGGTCGGGCCAGTGGGGCAGGTGCCCGTGGAGGAGTCTGGTGTGGGCGGCGTGGGAGGGGGCTTCGGCTCCCACCACCACCAGAACCAGAACTCCTACTGCTACCAGGTGTGTCTGACACCTGAGTCCGCCAAAACGGATCTGATGTTCCTCAAACCGTGCAGCCCGTCCCGCAGCAATGACACGGATCACACCAACCCCTGCGGCGCCATAGTCACGGGTTACAGTGACCAACAACCGGACATCATATCCAATGGCAGTATTCTCTCTAATGAGGTAAGAGAAGCCTGCATCAGCTCTAGTCGCCCAGGGCTCCGCTCCGTGCTCACACTCCCTGGGAGATGTGTTAAAAGTGCACAAACGCGTGATTTAAAGGGTTAACCCAATTTTAAAGATCCTCCACACATCAACAGCTGGGTCTGCTTCATGTCAAAAGTATGTTATCCATTCAGGTCACGCGCAGCAAAAGTCTCAGAGAGGATGAAAGAGGTATCTGCTATTGACCGGGCTGTTCTGCTCTGTGGCCTTTAATCATTGACATGCGTAATGGTGATTGGACATGTCAATTGTTACATCTCATGTGGCCTTTTAGTTGTATTCGCTATAGACTGCTGTCAGATCAGCCTTTGTGTCGTGCGCAATCGGGTGTGGCAGAGATTCTGACTTTGGGCATACAGTGCTTACCATTTCCCAATCAGATCCCGAAGTTTGGAAGACAGGTTTCTTTTTATGTTATGTTTTAATTCTATGTTTGGTGATATTGTTTAATCTGAGCCATTTATTCATGTGTACGCACGAGCGCGCACGCATGGATGGATGGACGGTTTTTGTTTAACAAAAAAAAAAAAGAGTCCAAATATTATAGTAAAGTGGGGAGATAATAACTGCATACACTGATCAGAAACTTCTCCCGCCAAGAGAACATTTCTGTGCATGCCAGGCAGCTTGGTCACATCAGCAGGCGCCATTAAGTGGCTCTCCTTAAGCCCAGAAAATTTTTAGTTGATAAATCTTTATTAGGTTATAAAATATGTCAAAAAGAAGGGAGGAGACGAGTGGCTTGACGGCCCTGTTTTGTGTTCAGCCTGTGCGTTCTGCTCGGGGGAGCTGTGGAGTTGGGGAGGGGGGGGGGGGGGGCTTTTTGTTGATTGCGCTGTGGCTGGAGTGGAGCCAGACAGCCAGTCACAGCCTTGCCTTAGCTGTGCGTTAAGTATTCCGTGCACGACCCGGCACGGCAGCACCGTGAACAAAGGTTGTTCAGTTTCAGCATCGGGCGGCTCAATCATTTACGCATTCAATCGCCTCCCTAACCCACTCTCCCCTGCTCCCGTCTCCTATCGCCCACTCACTCACCAAGTGGATGCGCGGCACCGTCGGCACACAGCTTCTGCTAACACAATCACACATTGACAACCATTGTATGCACACGTGGTCAGTTATGTCCCTCTTATCTAGTAAACACCTCCTTCCCATGCATTTATTATTGTGTCTATTTGGCATTGAAAGTGATCAAATGTGTGTTTCTGTGGGTTTTCTAGACAAAACACCAACGAGCAGAACTCAGCTATCTGGTGGACAGACCCAGACGTGTCAACAGGTAGTGAAAAGCACACACACACACACACACACACACACACACACACCCTATTATTACCAATGTGCAAAACCTAGTGAGCCACATACCATCCAGCATCAGAGGACCTATAACACCCAATAGGCCTCATGGAACCACAACCTATTCACATATCAATAAAATTGAATATTACACCCATCAGTGTGAATCCTGTATATTCCGCATCGTTAATTGTGGCTTTGAGAGGCTACATGGTTCCCAATGTATCCATAACGTTCATCTTCAATTTGGCATCAGTCCCATAACTGACAGAGCAGCGCCTATTAAAGCTCTAATGCTGGATTTCATTACATGCCATGTGTAACATCCAATTTAGACTCTTGACGGCCACCGTGACTGTATTAATGTGGTGTTGATTTCTGGTTCTCCCTCCCTTTCTCCTCCTCTCTGCCCCTCATTTAATCCTCCTCCTCTCCCTTCATCTTCTTCCCCCTGTTTTCCCAACATCGCAATCTCGACCTCTGTCTCCCTCTTCTCTGTCTGACACCACGCTCCCTCCCTCACTTCCCTCACCCTCTCCCAGCTCGGCATTCCAAGAGGCAGACATCGTCAGCTCCAAAGACAGTGGTCACGGCGACAGCGAGCAGGGCGACAGCGACCACGATGCCACCAACCGGGGTCATTCGGCCGGTGAGTCCCCCCCACCATTACACACATCACATAATTACACTGTCATTTCAGTACTCACATACACCCACTCTCTCCCCTAATCTGTTTCTATAGTGTGTGTTTGCGACTGTGAATGGGATAATGCTGAATTGTTGGTGCGGATCGGTGACTTTTAATTTCCTTAATTTGAGTGTGCGAAGGCTCGGGCTCCGGTGTTGCTGGCTGGCTGGCTGGCATGAACAGGCCCCAGAGGTGTTGATTGTATTTCACACCCGGGTGAAAGGGAGGAAATTTTTTTTTTCTTTTGGGGAGATTTTCTTTTTCTTTATCTGCCCTGTTGCTGTTCCCTCCCTTCTCTCTTTCCAACCCCCGCCGCTGTTCCTCCGAGCAGCGAGGCAGTGTGAGGCCTGCAGTGCTTTAGTAGCACAAATCAATAGGTTCACCCAGTCAAAGGAAAAGGCATGGAAGCTAAATTGGTATAATGACATGCATTGCAATCAGCCTTGCAGTCGGTGTAATGTACTGCCTCTGTTTGTTATAGATTCAGCTGATCAAGCACATGAGCAGCTTTTGGACCCTTTCTGTTTGTTAGCCACGTCTGTTTTAGTTTTGCCATAAGTTAAAGCGACGGTAAAATGCTGGAATTAGGGAACATTTCCCCATCCGCACTCTCACTTCAGGTTTACTTACTGACCCTCATTTCTCTTCCCTACTTTACAGTGCAGTAGATTTTTTTTTAGACCAGGTTTTTGGTCTTATCATAAGCCTCCCCTTGTTCGCTCTAAAATTCTATTAGGTTAGTACCTGTTTATTGATCAAAGTGGAGTCAGACAAAAAGTGGAGCAATACAAAATCTCATTTCATATTGAATTGCCCTTTCCTTCTGAGGGATTGTTCTACACAGCTCGCGTAAGACCCCTGTCTAGACCGGAGCCTGCCAAATATCATATCAGTGCTGGGAATACAAATAGAGCAGATTAGATAGGTGTTGTAGGATGGTGAATGGCCCTCATCAGGCTCCACGGTGTTTGACATTTTTAATGAACCAAGCCCAAATAGAGAGCCAGTATTCAGCAGTGGTAGTGTCACTCCCTGCCCTCGCTGATGAAACAGGCAGGGGGAAGGTCAAACTGTGAGAGATTGAAATGCAGAATTAGAAGAAACACGAAGGCAGATCTCTTTATTTATTAAGAATAAAGAGTTTTGCAAAAAAAATATTAACGTGGAGCTAGACATCTTCCATCAGAGTGTTATCTAGGAATATCTGGAACAGCACAGTCAAGCAGAATTTGGCTGTTTTTTCTTTGCAACTGTGCTGAGTAGACCAGAGATGGACACACAGGGAAGATAAGAGATAACAAGGTATGTAGGTTGTATGAACATGTGATATACATCTCAGTCTATTCTTCTAGCAGGTAACCTCAGTCCTCAGTGAGGAATCAGCCCTGACATGATGCTTCGGCCTGCACCAGCGTTTTAAAACGTATTTAACGTGAAGTGCTGCCTTGAGTTTCTTCTTGCTGGTAACAGGACTGCATTTATGAACCAATAACATCTTTCCTCGGCTTAATTTGGCTCTGAGTGTGCATGCTGGTTTGGCACTGGCCTGGGAGCGTACCCAGTTGGTGCTGTACTCTGTATTTCATACGAGGAAACCAACATTTGTTCCTCATGTTGGATTTAGAAGGGAACAGCTTAGCACTCCATGGGAGGTAATATCACACGACTGGTACTTTGGAAACAGGGACACTTGAGTTTCACAGACCTATGTGAACAAATAACCAGATGGAGTGTGTGTGCGTGGGTGTAAAGGTATACCATTGTGTGATTTAATATGTAGGCGTATACATGATACCTGTATGTAATCCGCTTGTGTTGTGTGTGTGTGAGAAAATGAGGCCAGGTGATGATGTCTGTATTGAAAAGGAGTTTTCCTTTGAGACGGCACTCTGGGAAGCTTAAATGAGATTCAGTTTGAGAGGAGAGAGTGGTAGCTAGGTCTTGGCACTCTTCCAGGTGTATATTGCCTCTATAAAGGCATACCTATTGCTCATTTGCCTCTCTGTATGTATATGTGTGACTTATTTTACTGTGTAAATACATATGGAGGGAGGAGAGTATTGTTGGTTGTCTCATGTGGGCTGTTTGCTATGTATGTCTATGGTATAGTGTGCGCTCGCCTATAAGAGTTTTATGCCGGGTGCATGTTCTTCAGTTTTGCAGGAAGGCGGTGGAGAGCCAAACTGAATACGCCTGAGCCAAGGCTATGTATAGACCACATGTATTTATAAATGTATATATCGTGTGCATAAGCAAATCCATGTGTGCACACGCATACAGACGCATATGTTTTGCAGGCATTGACAGTATATATATTTGCATTCTGTGTGTGTGTCTGACACACATATTCTCCACCAGGGTTTGTGGCAGGGTCTCATCCTTCATTCTGTCTCCCCCACACGTTGGCTCTCCGCAACACTCGGCTGATCAGTAATTCATTTCGAGAACCTTTGCATAGCAATTATCAAAGGAGGGTTAGAGGCAAGGTTTCCTCACGGGACCGCGCGGCACACTCTCCCTTTCGGTGCACCTCGGAATATTTCAAATCAAGGGAAAACCATTTCCAGTTGGCATATCATCAACTACACCTGCCGTAGCTTCCCGCTCGGCCGCTCGTCTGACACTTTAGAAAATAAGTCTCCTGACGTGGTTTTAAATCAAAGGGACACTGCCTGTGAGGCTGGGATTTCAGCGGATACCTTTAAAAAGTGGGCAAATGGCTTTTCTGAGAGCAGCGTGTCTGGAGTGAGGCACTGCTGCGTCAGGAGCCAAAGCACTATTGATTGACTACCACACCTTTTACCTCCCCACACCCACTCTATTTTTTTTAGGTTGCTTGATTCAAATTAGACGCTGTTTTCCTCATTATTCCCCTCATCATCCTAATAGGACATGGCGGCAAGAGTGAGCAAGCAAAACAGAAAAGGTGACAGCGAAGAGGGGATAAAATATGCATCAGTGAAAAAAAATGTGGCATCTCAGAAACCTTCGATCAGCTGTGGAAGGCTGCGTGACGGCTGGGAGACTGGAAATGATCATTATCATGACGTTTGTTTTGGTGAGAACAACAGCCGTGACAAATGGGACAATTAAATCACTGTGGCAACGGTGTATTAGATGGCTGATTATGAATTAGTGGCGGGCACCGTGTTGCAGTTTCCCATGTCAGTGAGCTGTCAGAGGAATTTAGCATACAGTGCTTTGAAACAGCCTCCTCTCAGGCCCTAGATACTGACAAAACTGGGGGTACAGTCTATGATCCATGAGACCAAAAAAGAAGGTCTCAGGTTGATTTCAAAAGCTCACAAATGAAAGAGTGAAAGAAATGAAGAGGCCCTGCTCAATGTGATGGAAAAAAGGTAAAAAAAAGGCACAATAACGTTGCTTACATATGGATAAAACCTTCAGTCAAGAAGAGATCTTCAGTTCTGTTGTCAAAAGAGTAATGTCAGACTGCAACTAAGGATTATCTTCATCATTGATGTGTTTGAAAAAAAAAAAGCGCTTCCCAGAATCGAACGCAAAATTGCAGTCCAAAACCAAAGAAGGTATTCTGTTCATTCAAAATCATCAAATCCTTGTATTCGTGAAGCAAATGTTCGGCCTGGAAAACAACCCAACTTGAAGAATAATCATCATCATTGATCAATCATTCAATCAGGAGAAATGAGAGCAGAACGCTTCCTACAATGTACAATCTCTAAGGGGGTTGACATTGTTCACACTCAAGCTTTCAAAGCCCACTATCAGAGAATAACCTAAGAAAGAGTGAAGAATCTCAATGTGACAATCCATTTGTATTTTGCCTGTAACAAGTGGACATGTCATCACTTCTTCTGAGCTGACTGGCTTGTTAAATATCAATAAAAGTCACAGTAAAGAAAAGGGACAGATCAATCAATTTGATTAACTAATTCACTAGACTACTTTGATTCATACAACATGTCTTTCTTGTCCCACACAAACCAGGTAAAAAAAAAATTACCTTTTTATAACTTGTTTAAGGTAGCTGGAGGATGGAGTGTATTCACTATATCATAGTTCTGTGTGGAAACGAATCAAAACTACACAAAGAACAGGCGATGGACTGATTACCAATACACATCTTGTCAAGTGTCTTGATGAATGTGTTATTCGTATGAATAGGTAGTGCTTTTTGAATGAACTGAATAGCAAAGTGTTTCCAACCCTGAAATAGATGAAAAGGAGGACACAAGCCTCAGTACCAATACATATGAATACACCTCAAATCGGCTGAAGAAAAATGAAAAAGATGATTTCTCTTTGCCTCAGAGAGGGGCCTTGGATATTTATTACTGAAGTTGAACAGGAGGAAGTAAGACTAATGGAAAACTCAGAAAAGTCCTGGGAGTCATAAACATACTTTGGCCACACATATCATCCTTACTGCCCAGAGGTTTAACATCTGCTCTAGCCAGGCTAAACTTCCTACAAAAAACACAGAACACGATGTCAAGATAGTTGGGTAGGCTCAAAGTGAGCTCAGGTGTTCAGAATTCCACAATATATGTATAGTTTTGGCCATCATTCCTGTCAATAACTAATCACCAAGTTCATTGCTGGGATGTGGGGATGCAGTCATGTAGCTAAAAAGAATTACAATGATCTTACAGGGTTTAACCATGTTAGCCAAGTTTATTTGGAAGAAAAAACAACAGATTATCATTGCACATTGCCTACATTTTAGTTGCACTCACTATCAGTTGTACTTCCAAATGAAGCTGTTCACTGGTTCACAACCTCATCCACAGAGAAATTAGCTACTTGGGAACGCAATCTGCGTGCATTGTTCTTATTGCAACTAGCTTAAATGCGTAAAAAAAACAAAGTGAAGAGTTTATTTGGAGGAGGGCAAGGACATAAAAGGCCTAATTATGTGCTCCAATATTTAAAAAAATGTACTAGCCTAACCTCTAGTCCTATTTGCCAGTCTGCAAGGG